TCGCACTTATGTGCAGCTCTGGGATCTGCGTGCTCCCCCTGTCTACCAGGATGTAGTCGAGGATTGAGTATTCATTGCAAACTGCCCGTTGCCTTGTGAACTCCGGCTTATCGCATTCCCTCCTACCGTTCAACACCATCAGTTCGTTGCTTCCCAAGAATTCAAGCATCCTCACTCCGTTGTCATTCACTTTGTCTTCTCCGTGCTGCCCGATCGCCTGTCCTCTACTGGAAGCTTTCCCTACTCTGGAGTTGAAATTGCCCACCATGACAACTTCTCCCTTCCTACTGAACCTCTGGACATCTTCCCCAATTTGTCCAAAGTTCTCCTGCGCCTTGCTTGCGACTCGGAGGTCCAGGGGGGGGGTGTTATATTATGTCGTAAACGGTAGCGTGGGTATGTGCCTGTTACCGGACATCTAGCGGAGGAACAAGTAGCTGACGAACACGGGCCCTTCCATGCTTTCGGCAGGCGGCGGGATTGATCGAGAAAGGGCTGCGGAGGGAGGCCAGCAGGGCTCTGCGGCTGTGGTTCTTCCACAAGGTGGTCCGCAGTAAATAGTGTAGCCTTCCCAGGGTTGTTTGGTTGAGTTAAACTATTGGATAAAGCATGCAAATTGGGGGAAGTTTGGTGAGGGCTGGGGTGAGGGATGAGGTCTGTGTCCCTGATCTACTTTCCCCTACGACTATAAACTTCTCGCGACAAAGGCGGTCCGTAAGGTGACGCCGAATTTCGCCCCCGTGCTTGCGTTTTTTTTGTTGGTGGTCGTGCTGCTGATGATGTCGTTTGTTGTTACCGTATATGACACAAGATAACACACCCCCTGGACCGATTTTCAAAGCTCAATTTCTCCACGCTGAAGGGAACGAAACGATACACTTTCGAAAAGCTCTCGACGAGACGGTTTCAACGCCGCCATTTTCGGCGCTGCTACTGCTCCGGCAGTTGAGAAATCGAGCTTCGAAAATCGGTCAAGGGGGTGTGTTATCTTGTGTCGTATACGGTACTGCTGCTGCTGCTGATGGTGATGCTGATGGTGATGATGATGATGATGATGATGATGATGGTGGTGATGATGTTGCTGTTTTNGGAACGAAACGATACACTTTCGAAAAGCTCTCGACGAGACGGTTTCAACGCCGCCATTTTCGGCGCTGCTACTGCTCCGGCAGTTGAGAAATCGAGCTTCGAAAATCGGTCAAGGGGGTGTGTTATCTTGTGTCGTATACGGTACTGCTGCTGCTGCTGATGGTGATGCTGATGGTGATGATGATGATGATGATGATGATGATGGTGGTGATGATGTTGCTGTTTTTGCTAGTGTTGCTGCTGTTGTTGTTATTATTGTTGTCGAATTTTGCCCTATGTTGATCGTCGTTGCTGTTGTTGTTGCTGTTGACCCATAGATACACTTCACACAGAGACCCAGGTCCTCCAAAACACTTTCAACCACGCTGGCTACCCCATGTTTCGGGATACCCTGCACTCGATGCTGAGATTCCGGGGGCCACGTAGACACGTGTGTGTGGTGGTAGGGCGGTTGGGAGACGCCCCCGCCGGCAAGGCTCCACGCTTTCTCTCTCTCTCTTCTCCCACTCTCTCTGTTGTACGGTACTAGAGGTGCCTGTTTGGTGCAGGTACAGTATCTGCCCAGAGAATTCACCAGCCTTGATAATGACGTCGACCTTCGGTGTGTGCACGCCGAGGAGACTGACCCGTTTCCGGAAACTGGCCTGGCCCTATTCAATCGGCACCAAACAGGGGTCTCGAGACTGACCCTTTTCCTGGGACTGGCCTGGCCCCATTCAATTGGCACTTAACAGGGGTCTCTCCTTTTTTTTTGCACTTGAAGTGGGCGCTCGCAGCATTTGTGCCGTTTGCTCCGTCCCGTGGTCCCGCTGAAGGGTTACTATCCGTGAGACCCCCTACCCAGCCCTTCGATTCTTACCGCGAGAAGAGTACAGCGCGGACCTACCTCTCCTGTACGTAAATATGAAGGTCGAGGGGGTGTGATATCTTACATCACCTATCGTATATATATGTATACCAGGGTCCCGGGGGTGACCATTGCTCTGCTGTGCTTCTGACAATAAGCTGTCCGCCTTCAATCACCCCACTCTCGTGCCCCTTTTTTGGTTAGCATTTGCACAATCACCCCACTCTCCTCGTGCCCCTTTTTTGGTTTCCAGTTGCACAATTACCCCACTCTCGTGCCCCTTTTTGTGGTAGCATTTGCACAATCACCCCACCCATGTGCCCCTTTTTTGGTTAGCATGTGCACGTTCGAGGTGCAACCACAGTCGAAAAGGATGTGCTGGAGTATTTTGAGTCAGTGTTGTTCTTGTGAAAGGTTTGGAATGTTCCTCATCTCCTTGGAAACACCCGCCCCATCATTTTTCTGTATCTTTTTTTCTCTTTCTCCCCGAAAAGGTTTGGAACGTACGCCTCAGGCCCTTAAACCACCCACCCCACCCTTTGTTATCCTCATGTTATTCTGCTTTTTTTTTTTGCCGGACAAGGTTTGGAACGTGCTCCTCAAGTCCTTGGAAGGGCGGGAAAACCCCGTGGAACTGCTGAGGATGACGGACGCGGTTCTGGGACGGCCTGGCCGGCAAGGTGCGGTGCACGCCCCATTTGCAAATCGTATGGTATTTTGTGTGGTAATAGTTAAACCTATACATTACTGTATTGGCTGTCATTGTGGCAGCCCTTGTATTATACCGGGTGTGCTCTTGGTTTGTGTGTGACGATTCCAAATCCTACGCAACGAAGCACCACGTATAGGCCTGAACGGTGAGGTGCGGTGCATTCCCCACGTGCCAGAAAGGAAAATAAGCCCCACACTAGACCCCTCTCCAGTTTTCCTGAAAAGAGGGTACCGAGTTCAAGTAACTCGCGGGGGGCTGCAGTTGGTAATGTTCCGTGCCGGCACCGGATTCATCTGATTGGCTCCCACTTGTACCGCTGTTGTTGTTGTTGTTTTGTAGCCCCACACTAAAAAGAAGTATATGATATCGGTCATTTGTAGCCCCACACTAAAAAGAAGTATATGATATCGGTCATTTGTAGCCCCACACTAAAAAGAAGTATATGATATCGGTCATTTGTAGCCCCACACTAAAAAGAAGTATATGATATCGGTCATTTGTAGCCCCACACTAAAAAGAAGTATATGATATCGGTCATTTGTAGCCCCACACTAAAAAGAAGTTGACCAAGCGCAACAACCCCTGCCCGATCAAATCCAGAGGTTTTATGACCGGGCATACCGCGCTGCTGCTGCTGCTGCTGCTGCCACAGCCGCAGCCGTAGTCGTTTGTTCCATCCATTGATTCCTTTCAAAGCCACACCGTACCTCCTTGACAAGTACCGTACTGCTGCTGCTGCTGCTGCTGCTGCTGCTGCTTGCTGTTTTGTTGTGTGTGACGGTTTCGATCGAACCGCTTCTTAAGCAGGAGGGCCAAGGGAAGGGGCGGGCGCCGGTCTTGACGTCGGAAGGATGCGGCAACGCGCGGTGAAGCTCGGCAGCTCGGTGCGCATTCTCGGGCTTCTTTCCGCTTCGAAGAAGTCCAGGCGGTACTACGCGGAGCTAAAAGAGGTATCTACACCTGTGGTTTGTTCTGGCAACTGCAAGCGTTTTTTTGCGTTACTATGGTTATGGTTTTTCAAAGATGCCTAGACTAATCTTACGGCTTCTTTCCTCTTCGAAGAGGTCCAAGCGGTACTACGCGGAGCTACAAGAAAGTATGATGTACACCTGTGTCTTGCTCTGGCAACTTCAAGCATATTTGCACGTTATATCGTTCTTGAAAGATGCCTCATCTTCAGGCTTCTTTCCTCTTCGAAGAAGTCCAGGCGGTACTACGTGGAGCTAATAGAGGTGGTATCTACAACTGCGTTTTGTTCTGGCAACTGCAAGCCTATTGAAAAGAGGTGGTATCTTCAACTGCGTTTTGTTCTGGCAACTGCAAGCCTATTGGTATTGTTAACATTATGGTTCTTGAAAGATGCCTTATCGTCAATCTTCTATACTCTTTGAAGAAATACCGGCTGTACATTGTATTGTGCGCGGAGCAAAAAGAGGTATCTACACCTGTGTCTTGTTCGGGCAGCTGCATGCCTGTTTGTATTGTTAATTTTATGGTTCTTGAAAGATGCAAAATCATTAGGTTTCTTTACTGTTTGAAGAAGTCCAGGCGGTACTACGCGGACCTAAACGAGGTGGTATCTACACCTGTGTATTGATCGGGCAACTGCAAGCGTATATGTACGTTACTATGGGTATGGCTCTTGAACGATGCTTAGTCGTCAGGCTTCCTTCCTCATCGAAGAAGTCCAAGAGGTACCACCCGGAGCTACAAGAGGTATCTACACCCGTGTTTAGTTCGGGCAACTGCAAGCGTATATATACGTTACTGCTGTGGCTATGGTTCTTGAAAGATGCCTAATCGTCAAGCTTCTTTCCTCTTCGAAAGACGACCCGGCGGCAAGCTAAGCGATGCACACCCGTGTTTAGTTCGGGCAACTGCAAGCGTATATGCGTATATGTACGTTACTGCTGTGGCAATGGTTCTTGAAAGATTCCTAATCGTCAGGCTTCTTTCCTCTTCGAAAGAAAACCCGGCGGCAATCTACGCGATGTACACCTGTGTTTTGTTCGGGCACCTGCAAGCGTAGGGATGTTGTTTTTCGGTATGAAACACAACAAAGCCCTCTAGACCTTTGTAACTTGTTTGTGTCCTGGTCAGGGAACGTTGCACGTTTGCGCTGTAACTGGAGTAGAAGGTGCTGCAATACACGAGCGAGGTGTATTGCCGTCGCCGATAGCTACCGATCGTAGGAGTTCTCTTTTCAGGCCACAACTATTTGTCTGTCGGTAGAGCAATTTTTCTCTTTTCAGGCCACAACTATTTGTCTGTCGGTAGAGCAATTTTTCTCTTTTCAGGCCACAACTATTTGTCTGTCGGTAGAGCAATTGTTCTCTTTTCAAGCCACAACTATTTATCTGTCGGTAGAGCAACTCTTCTCTTTTCAGGCCACAACTATTTGTCTGTCGGTAGAGCAATTCTTCTCTTTCAGGCCACAACTATTCATCTGTCGGTAGAGCAACTCTTCTCTTTTCAGGCCACAACTATTTATCTGTCGGCAGAGCAGCTCTCCTCTCTTCAGGCCACAACTATTTGTCTGTCGGTAGAGCAATTCTTCTCTTTTCAGGCCACAACTATTTGTCTGTCGGTAGAGCAATTGTTCTCTTTTCAGGCCACAACTATTTGTCTGTCGGTAGAGCAATTGTTCTCTTTTCAGGCCACAACTATTTGTCTGTCGGTAGAGCAATTGTTCTCTTTTCAGGCCACAACTATTTATCTGTCGGTAGAGCAACTCTTCTCTTCTCAGGCCACAACTATTTGTCTGTCGGTGGAGCAATTCGTCTCTTTTCGGGCCACAACTATTGTATCTGTCGGTATTATGAAGCAGTTCTATGTCTCGGGTACTGCCGTTGAGATGTGCGCACAACCAAACGCTTGTAACCCCCAACCCTCGGCCCCTTTTCACTTGTTCAATGGCAATTCCCTTATTTTCTTGAAAGTAGAAATAACCTCACAGAAACACTATTGTTTCAGCCACCGCGGGAAGCAGTCGCGTACCCCTCCCCCCACCCCCTGTGGGAACAATGCTCCTACATTTGAGGAGGCGTCGCCAATGGTCTAACAGCTCAGGCCTGCAGAACAGGAGTCCCCCCGCCCGCCTACCGAATGTGAACCGTTTGGCCAGCCGGGGATGCCCGATCAACCCTTTGGCATATCTGGGTTGGCACAGCAATCGCAAGTAGGATGACCAACTTCTGGTCCATTCTTGTACATAGAACGTGCCGTAATCTGGGCCGGCGAAAACCCGGCGTACAGCAGTATCGCTCCGTCGCGGCCCGCGTTGTATGCATGCGAGGTCAATGGTCTAACGACTACGGCATGCCATGCACGACCATGAGTACCCCGCTTTTGTCCCTTGTGGGATGTCCGGCAGGTTTCGGAGGCGTTGGCGTACCTATTGCCCGGCGAGGTCAAGGGCCTGCTGCACGAGCTTCTTTGCGCGCTACCTTCGGCCGATCAGAGCTCGGCGTCGTCGGCGGCGACCGATCCCAGGGCCACCGCTGCTGCTGATGCTGATGGTGAAAGCGGCGCGATTAGTAACACTACGGGTTCCGACTATGCTTTGACGGACGGTCGTTCCCCGGAACGTTCTGGGAGCACTTCTCCGGAACGATTCGCGGAACGGTCTGGGAACACTTGTCCGGAAATTTCTCGGAAAACGACTTCTCCGGGCCCTGCTTCGGAACGGTCTCCGACACGTCGGGAAATTTCTGGGAAAAAAGCTTCTCAAGAACGTTCTCCGACACTATCTCAGGAACTTTCTGCGGGAAATTCTCGGGATTTCTGCTCCTCTCCGACGGCACCGCTTGTGGTCCACGGTCTGGATCGAATGGAAGCCGACTACCTGAGGCGAGGTGCCGAGAGGGTGCTGGGGCAGTGGGGCAGGGCTGAAAAGGAGGGCTGGGCGGAGGTACGTGGACTACGGTATTTGTGCGTGTTATCGCACCCCCGTGATAGCGTTGTTTTGTATATCGTATTTCTCCGCAACCAGGGGGGTATGTACCACTGCCGAAGAGGGTGGTTTTGGAAACATGTCGTCGAGGGCTTTCCTGAGAGATATCATCGGTTGGAGTTGGTGTTCGCACCCTCTATGTCGTGGGAGAAGTACGCTAGAAGGAAAATCTATTCAACACTGTTGCGGTACGCTGCTGTCCGTGCCTTGGGGTGATGTGTGTTTTCGTCCCTGTGTGTGTTTGCCTCGTGATGGTTGTTGTTGTCGTTGCTGCTGTTGTTGTTGCTGTTGTTGCTGCTGCTGTTGCGTTTGTGTCCTGCGTAGCAAGTGTGGTGTGGCAAATGCCCGCGTCTCGTTTCTCCGTGAGTCCGAGCAGCCTCTACGTCTGTCCCGTTGGCGTGAAAATGTACGGAAAAAGTGCCGAGCCAGGCTCTATGCGGGTCTAGTCTTTTTCCAGTTCTCTGCTTTTTTTCTTTCTTTTTTTTGCGTTGTCTCACTGTCAACGACCTGGCTGCTGCTGCTGTGGAAACGACCTCCTGTCTTTTTTCTCGGACAGCAAAAAAGTTGAGGCATGCGTGGCCTATGCTTTTGTCGATCCCAATCCTCTGTCCCTTCTTGTTTGACATTTGCGCCCTTTATTCATTCGCCATCGCTCGCTCTCCCTCCTCTCTTTCTCTCTCTCCCTCTCTCTCTCGTTCTCTCTCTCTCCCTCTCTCTCTCTCCTTCCCTCCCTCCCTCCCTCCCTCCCTCCCTACTGTAATGTTTTTTTTTTCTCTTTGCGGCTTACTACCGGCAGCCCGACGATAACGCCATCGAATGGGGCCGCTCCGCCTCCTACATCAACACCTACGCGACAACCGTCGGAACCTCTGGGGGAGGCGGCGGAAAGTCTGCCGGTTCGAGGGGTAACCGCCTCTTCTCCAGGCAAGACGCCCCTACTGATTTTGGTCGGTTGCGGCGTAACCTAACCTTTCCTCAATCCTATTGCTGGGTACCTCCTTGTTTCTCCGAGACGTTTTTTTTTGTCCTGATTCCAACACTACAATTCCATCTCTATCCAAAGTGCTCCGCTTCGCTATGAATTGTGGATCAGGGGTCACGCCGAAGAGGAATATCTCTCGACCCCCCTTCCCCCCCTTTCCCAAAATTCCTCCTGTCTATTGTGGCCCTCGTTGTTTTCCTCCTCGGTATAGTCGCCCTATTTGTTGTTCTACTTTTTGCTTCATCTGTATCCATACATAAGGATCTAGGATACATTGGTAATGAATTCGTAGCGTAGCAGAGCAATACCTGTGTTTCTGCGATGTCCCAAGCTGCATGCTAGCGCAACATATTGTGTGGGGGCCACGCGGAAGAGGTAAATCTACCGCGGACCCCCCCCCCCAAGTATTTCCTCCTCCGTATGGTACCCATCCTTGTTCTCTGCGCCGGTCTACCGTATATGACACAAGATAACACACCCCCTGGACCAATTTTCAAAGCTCGATTACTTCACGACGAAGGGGATGCATAAACAAAATGATACATTTTCGAAAAGCTTTCGACGAGACGGTTCCAACGCCGCCGTTGTCGGCGCTGTGCCTGTTTCTGCAGTTGAGAAATCGAGCTTTGAAAATTGGTCAAGAGGGTGTGTTATCTTGTGTCAAATACGGTACTCTGCCCCCCCTCTCTCCAACCTCATTCACTGTGTCGTACAGTGTTGTGCGGGCGTCACGCGCAACAGGGATATCATCCCCCCCCCCCCCCCCCCCCCCCCCCCCCCCCCCCCCCCCCCCCCCCCCCCCCCCCCCCCCCCCCCCCCCCCCCCCCCCCCCCCCCCCCCCNGTTCTCCGCAACGATTTAGTCTAGGCCATCACCCCCTTCTCATTCATTCTTACTGGAAATTGCTGTGCGAGGGCCACCCTGAAGAGGGATCTCCCTTGCGGACCCCCCAATCTTCATCCTGTTACTCAAGCCTTCGATTCTCGGGCGATAATGTTATGGATTCAGGAATCGCGGCATGTCGATGTCGTCTTCGTTGACGGTGATGTACAGCATCCATGAGTGCTTCAAGACGTCCCGGTATTCCTTAGCGTGGCCTAGAAATCCCCCCCGTTCCCGCCCTTGTCTGCGGTGAACCCCCCTCACCCCCCTCACCCTCCACGCGACTCGCCGAATATCTCACGGCGCTTTGCGCTTGGCGATGTGAGAGCCTGGTCCGGTGAGAACCCGGCGTGCTCCGTCCTGGCTTTGTACGCATGCAACGCTAATGGTCTATAACGACTGCGGCATGCACGACTATGAGTGCACCCGCCTCCTGTTCTCCCCCCCCCTTCAAACATCAGCTCATCGACGCCAATGGTCTACCAACTGCACACACGGCTATGAGTGCATCCATTCCCCCCGTTCAATAAACGGCTCATCGAGGCCAATGGTCTAACGACTACGACATGCACGATTCTGAGCACACACACACCCCACTCCCTCCTCTTTGCTGCTTGCAACGTTTAAACAGCGCTCTTCTTCACCAAAGCTCGTCAGGAGGAGAAGGAGGAGGAACAGGGAGAGGCATTTCGCCAGGGAAAGTAGGAGGATCCGGACAATTCCCAGCCCAGCGAAACGCGGCTGCTGCTGCTGCTACCGCTGATGGTGCTCCTGCTGCTGCTGCTGATGGTGCTCCTGCTGCTGCTACCTCTACTGCTGCTGTGGCTGCTGATGGTGGGCATGGGGGGGCAAATGTGTTTCCTGGGAGCACTCACCGGGTACCAAGTCGGAGCCGTCAACCGGCCGGGTCCGAGAACGGAGGGGCTCCGTCGGATGCAGCAGAAGATCAGGTAATACTGGCGCAATGGGCGGTTTTTTGTTTTATGCTTGCTTGTTTCTCTCGGCTGCAGCCCGGACATTCGAAGCGACAGCAACTTTCGGAATTGTTGTTGTTGGTGCTGTTGTTGTTGTGATCAGGTCCTACCTCGTATTGGCGCATAGACGATTTTTTGTTCGATGCTTTCTTGTTTCTCTTGGCTGCAGCCCGGACATTCCAAGCAACAGTAGCTTTCGGAATTGTTGTTGTTGTTGTTGTTGTTGTTGTTGTTGTTGTTGTTGTTGTTGTTGTTGTTGTTGTTGTTGTTGTTGTTGTTGTTGTTGTTGTTGTTGTCTTTGTTTTAAAACNCATTAAAACCTTTCCGGTCTTTCTACCCAGTACCTTCGTATGTCCGTACTAGTCCAACACTTGACCGGTCGGTTCCCGTGGTCAAAGGCTAACTCACCGTAAAATAAAAAAAACTCAAATAGATGGACCCGAAGGGTCCGCACGCCAGTGGAAACCAACAACAGATAGTCTGACTACATGCACTACATGAGAGAGGAATCACAATTCCGTTTGACGTTTCCTTCGGGCGGTGTCAAAATGTTTTGTATTCGGGCAGGGGGGGATACACGCACAGGAAGAATATACAAAACAGGAACAACAATATGTTTCGAAAATTGTTTTATCCTCCTGCGGTATCCAATCTGTGTGCTCGTGTTGTGTGTGTTTTGCGTCGTGTGCCCCCTGGCAGAGGGAGGCTCTGAATCGGGCGTGCCTGGTGCGAGAGCTTCAGCTGCTGTTCCTGCACGTCATGGGTGAAGCCAGAGCCGTTTCACTCGGGCCGGGAATGGTAACCCCCCCTCCCCTTGCGGAACACGCCCCCGTTCTCGCCGAGGTATGCATGTACACTGTTCGCATGAAATCATTTGGACTATTATTGTCCGCCGTTTCACCTCGGCCAGGCATGGTATCCCCCCCCCCCCCCCCCCCCCCCCCCCCCCCCCCCCCCCCCCCCC